CAATACTCGGCCGAGAATGGTTGTTTGAGTGAGTGTTATATAGTGAGTGAGTGATATGAAACAGCTGTGTGCAATCAGTGCTGCGTGCAATCAGTGCAATGAATGATGGGATATGTAGTCCGGGGTGATATGCAACAGGGTGTAGTGCGAGAGTCAATGAAAATGGAAAGGGTGACCTCTGATGGCTAGCAGACGGAAGTTCATGGACCGGATTCGTGACACTTATTGCTTTAATAGTTTTTTTGGGTTTTAATTTTTAGAATATGTCTTGAATTAAATGTATTTTGTTTTATTTTAAGTTTTAAGTTTGTTTAGATATTTTTACTGGACAGCAAGACAAATTTGTATATATATATATATTTTTTTTTTATTTTTTTATTTATTTTTTTTTATTTGACGTATTACTGTCATCTATGAAATTACACAGATTCTCAAACAAAGTGCCAATATTCAAAAATTCATCAAGGAGATTGAATTGATCGCTAGCACTCCAAACAGAGAACTACATGTTCAATGTGTCATCAGAGAAAGCGTTAATCAATATCGCAGGAACTCTGGGGGACAGAATCTTTAACATTGAGGGTAAATCTTGCATTCACGTATGCCAAATGAATAATGCATTTGTTCATCCAGTGACAACAGGTCGCTTTTTTTAACCTAAAATACAGCTTTAAATTATGATAAGCATTTGATGATTTGGTCTTGTTTGATTTGAGGCACCAGTCAAGGTCAGGAATTTCAACTGGAGATGTCCCAAGTAGGATTCAGCGCACACCAGACCAATAAGAAGGTGCCAATAATCGTTCAACATATCTGATTGAGTAGTCAAAATAATTTGTAATGTACCATACTGATTCACAAGAAATGAAGGCATGACGGGGTGGCATTTTATCCCACAGGATGTGATCATGCTGGGTACTGTTGGAGCGTATGGATTGAGCGGGACCGTCGTCCATCAAACAGCTGGGAAATCACACATTTTCCTCAAAAATGCTTTTGAGAAAATCCTGGATGACAGAAACCACAGCTCATTACTTGGTGAGCCAGCCAGAAAATGAACTGTAAAGTCATTTTCATTATAAAAAGCAAATATAGAGGTCATGTAACATTATATTCACATCTCTGCTACAGTTCAAAAGTTTGGGGTCGGGAAGATTTTATTTTTAAATAAATTAATACTTTTACTCAGCAAGGATGCGTTACATCGATCAAAAAATATTATTTAATCATTTCAAATAAATGCTGTTCTTTTGAACTTTTTTATTCATCAAAGAATCCTAAAAAAAAATGGAAATCACAGTTTCACAAAAATATGAAGCAGCACAACTGTTTTCCACATTGATAATAATAAATGTTTCTTGAGCAGCAAATCAGCATATCAGAATGATTTCTGAAGGATCATGTGACACTGAAGACTGGAGTAATGATGCTGAAAATTCAGCTTTGATTACAGAAATAAATTAAAATTTGAATTATATTCAAATAGTAAACAGTTGTTTTAAATTATAATAATATTTCACAATATTACTGCTTTTTACAGTATTTTTGATCAAACAGATGCATAACATTTTCCCCTGTCATGTGTTCAGGATACTCTGTCACGTCTGTGATTGACGGCTCGTCTGAGTTTTATGTGGCCGGTGCTCCTCGTGCCGTTCATAGAGGACAGGTCATAGTTTACAGTATCAACAGCCAGAATCAGCCCGTCATCATAGATTCACAGAGAGGAGATCAGGTAAACTCGCCTCTCTGTGACCTGTAATGAGCTTTAGTTTCATTAGACAGTGAAGTCCTGTCATAGACCATTGTGTTCTGTGGTTTGCAGATCGGCTCTTATTTTGGCAGCGTTCTCTGTCCTGTTGATGTGGACGCTGACGGTGTGATGGATCTGCTGCTGGTCGGAGCTCCGATGTACATGAGCGAGGAGAAATCTGAAACCGGAAGAGTCCACCTCTTCACCATTACCAAGGTGAAACAGGTTTACTGTTCAAAAAACTAATCTTCACTCAAAGCAGGTCCTAAAAAAACTGACTATCTTGCCTCATATTGTTCTCAGGGCATCTTAAGCAACCAGGGCAGGTTAGAGGGACCCTCCACGTTGGAGAATGCTCGGTTTGGGACGGCCATCACTGTCGTCCCCGATCTAAACCTGGACGGCTTCAGTGACGTGGTGGTTGGTGCTCCGCTGGAAGGCAATGGCCAAGGTGCCGTTTACATCTACAATGGAGACAGAAAAACCATCAGAAAGCAGAGCTCACAGGTAGAATGCACTAATAATATTATATATATATATATATATATATATATATATATATATA